CTCTTCACTCGCCAGATTATGTAACTCAACTGGTAAGCCAAAGATGCCTGCTGTATTGTTGCTCGTCAAGTAGACGGTGTCTTCGTCAGCTCAACGTCTATTCCATTGTCATCGATTGAAAACTCGAGCTCACCACTTCAGAGTTTTTCACTTTCCCCGTCATTCAGCTGGCTGGAGATAATTTTTCTAACTTTTTTTGTTTAGGTTTTCACCAATGATGATTAGTTATTTGACCAAATATAGCCTGAGGTCTAATATTCAAAAGGTCATTGCCCGACAGGTTTTTTCAAATGCGTTCTTCTAGACTATTAAGTGATTTACAGAGTTTAAGGCAAAATGAGACTTATTTGAGTATTTGTACAATCATAATACAATTATGTACATACATATGCACGTATTTACTTATAAAGGGTGACTTTTTAAAAGCTATTGGTGAGTTTTTCAAAAAAAAGGCACATAAAATGTATCCAAACAATTTAATGTTTGAAGATTCTTTCACGCAAATGTTGACAGTGACTGCGCATCAAATGATCCATCGGCTTAGTTCAATTTTGGCATACACTTTCCAACATTTCGGCTGTCATCTCACAAATAAATGCTTCAATGATGTCCTCCATTGCGTCAATTGAAGCGGGTTTGTCTGTATAGACATTAGGTTTAACACAGCCTCACAAAAAATAGTCTAAGGGCGTTAAATCGCACGATCTAGGCGGCCAATTGACTGGTGTCGAACGTGAAATAAAATATTCACCGAACTCGTCTCTCCATGAGTCCATTGTTATGCGTGCCGTGTGGCATGTGGCAACGTTTTGTTGAAACCACATGTCCTGACTTGCATTTTGGGTAAAAAAAAGTTTGATGTCATCTCACGGTAGCGCTCACCACTCACAGTTACGTTACGATTTGCATAATCTTTGAAGAAGTACATTCCAATGATGCCGCCAGGCTATAAACCGCACCAAATTGTGACTCTTTCTGCATGCATTGGTAGCTCTTGCAGTGCTTTTGGCTGATCTTCACTACAAAATCGGAAATTCCGCACCCATTAAGCCATAAATGAGCTTCGAATTTTTGAACTTTCTTAACAGAGCACGCATTTTGATAATAAAATTGTGCTTAAATCAGTTTTGCCAAAACGATATTAGCTGAAAAAAATCACCCATTATATAAATAAATGAACCTTTGCAATATATGGAGAGGAGAAGGATGCCGGGAGAAGGGAAAGGAAATTTCAAGGTCGCAAGGTTACCACAATCGCGGCAATATAATCAGTCTCGTTACTTAATTGTCAAACCTCGTATTTGTGTACTCGTATGTATGTAATATATCTATAACGACATAACAACCTGTCACACAATCGTATATCAAATATATGTATGCAAATGTCATGTGCAAAGAATTTATATGACGATAAAAAGTCAAACACTCGTACACATTGGCGCAGACAAATAGACGNAAATTTTGTTCAAACATTTTTTTCGTCGTGTCAAAACTAGATTCGTTAAGTGGGGTGTGGAACTTGACAGGTTGTCTGTCGGTCAATGACGGTGGCTGGTGCATTGTTGTAAACGTACATACATACATATGTGTGTGTCATTGAACTTCTGTGACAGCTCAAAATAAAATAAGATAATAACCAAAACAAATAACAATAGTATGAATAAACATTATTAGTTAGCATTTGGTATGTATGACGCCATTTATTACATAATCTCTTTGATGGCACGCATTTAGCTGAAGAAATCGGTGTCAAATGCTTACAGTGACACAAAAGTGCATATTGAGCGAGAAGAAAACAAATTGTTAGTTAAAATTATTTTATTGAACACAACAATGTCTTCTGGTTCATTAAGAGGAAAACACCACAGCTTTGAAAGTAAAATAGAAGATCACGACTGCGTTGGAAGGATCTATTGAAAAGCCTAATTTCTCATGGCATTTCCAATTAGTGCCCAACTGCGAAAATAGAAACGAATGATTCGCTATTGTTGATCGGCTAAAATCGCGTAAAAGCGGTGCCTACGTCAATAAATAAGAAGATCCTTTGAGCTAGCGGCTGCAGTAGGCGAATCATTAGCAATGCGAGCTACCACACGGTGTCAATCCTCACTAAACCAAATTCCAATATAGCAAGGAACGCATATTAATATTGCTAAATAGGTCTTGGTGATTTCCCAAATCCTTTGAGTTCGATCACTGGCTTTATTACTCAATAAATAAAATTTCACTTTGCTATACACAACGGCTGGCAGCCGCGGTAGCCGAGTGGTTAGGATTGCGTATTGTCATTCAAAGTTATAGAAAAGTTATAGAAATATAATTTAAACAAAAAATTAAGCTAAATTTTCTAATTGCGGTCGGGTATTTCAACCCCTTTGAGGGTATTTCTGACATGAAATAAAGCTCTTTAGGCGGTATAAACTGTAGGTCCCTCCCTTTGTTGGAAAAATATCAAGACGCGAAACCACAAATTTCAGCATGCAGTAGGAGCTCGGCTAAAAAGCGCTTACAACTTATATTACAACTTTCACAATTTATTATTTTTATTGGATGAGTGCATAAGTTCGTGCCCGATTTCAAGTCCAAACTAAAATTGAAATTTTTTGAAGAAAGCGCTTTTATTAATCAATTATGTATTCGCCATCATGTTCGGCAATCCACTCCCAACGTTCAACCAATTTACGGA